TTTATTACAGTCAGCCGTAAAAAAGTGAACCGTAAAAATTTATATTGTTAATTTTAAAGAAAAGAAATTAAACGATAGCCGTAAATTGGCCAAAAATTTTAAACGTTAGCCGTAAAAGTTATCACCGGAATGAAGAATGGATGGTCTATATTTCATTTCCAGCCTCGGTCCATGACTGTTAGAAGCTTTGAGCCCCGCTCGAAAAAAGCAGTAGTTCCCTTAGTCCGCCAAAGCCAAAAAAAAGATATCGGTCAAAATTTATGTTATTTACCAGGCGTGAGGTGCTATCTCAGAGCCAAATGGCAGTTACTGTGCCAATTTATTTTTATGAAAATTTCTTTTCACGACCATTAGATGCACCAAGTAGATAAAGAATGTAACAGAACAGGTTTCAAGTGTTCATCTGCTGAGGTGATCACATTTCTGGCATAACGGTCGTTATCACCGTAAAAGCAAAGAACTGTTTTTAGGAGAGAGGGCAATCGGTATTACACTCAGATCTCTAACTAGATATTCATCAAATCAACAACAGCAATTCGAACTTTTTTAAGCCTTGAACTCCTAAGAGTGACCAGCATCTAATTTCTCCTTACAATATCACCACTGAATCACGCATTAAGGCCATGAGAATAACTGAAATGATCACCAACTAAAGAAGCTCTACATTGCTAAACAAAGTCTCCTTGTCAGTACCCTTTGAAAGGTATAGAGAACAGTATGGAGAATATATGCATACTGTTATTAGAGTGTGAGCGATATTTGGATATATTGTTAAACAAATTTACTTCGAATCACGAAAGTACAAAAAACCGACCAAATGCAACTGGCAAATTAAAAGGAAACAATGGTCGAATTAAAATATATCTTATCCAAAAAATAAGGAATGAACTGAAACATGAGACGATCAGATAAAGGTTGCACCGTACTCTGTCGGACGTTGCGTCATTCGCCACCTATTATCAAATTAGAATAACATAATGAAAGATTATTCGAGATACGATCACTTAATAAATCTCGCCTCCACAGTGATAGATCGGATTACATTTGTCATGTCACAACGAAATTCAACGAGTTCATGTTGAATTTAAGGAACGTGACAGTTACCGTGAAAAAAGAAACAATTCACCCTTGCGTGACTATTACGTTATTACCTTTGATACACGATGGCCCGGCCAGGGTAGGTTGTTTTCTAAGAGTGCGGTACTATCAGAGAAACGTTGGTTCAAATAAATTTGCATGATTTTCCTTTACAACTTTTCTGTATTTGCATTGGATGCACTGGAGAAGAAGTTGATGCTTTGCTCTAGCTAGAGGTCATCATCTCAGTGTCGGTGAACATAGAGGATACCTGATTTCCCTCGCCGCTTCGCTGCTTAATAAATATCCACCACTATTCACCTCCACTCTGGTGAAGTTAATTGTTACATTATTGGGTAATTAGCTAGGAGGCATCCAAAAGTCTTACTGAGCTGAGTGCTGACCTTTGTATTATATAGGGATCAAATATTTCCATATTGAATTCAAAATCAAACTTTATTGGCAGTCGGTGGCTGCTTTACCTATTTCGTTTTCCTAAGTTTCGTTTTCGTTTCTCCTGCCTAGTTTTTTGTCAGCTCGAGGTTTCTTCTATAGAATTATTGTGATACTTCAACCTGTGAGGGAACCCGTCGTCTTACAGTTTAGTTAATCATAGAGCCAACTTGATGGCTGTATTTATAAACTATAGAAAAATGTCGAGATTGTTCTTTAGCCTGCTCTTTGATGTAAAAGAGATATGAACCCAAATCCACCCTATCTACAGTAAGTCAGCAATGTTAGGATATCCAAGATTGTTTAGCAGGTCGTACAGACTGCCTACACTTAAATGCCGCTGTTGAGAAACGAAACTCAAAGCTGCTTCAAATGGATTCCTATGACGTTTGTCAAGGAATCGGATCTCAAATTGCTGTAATCCCAGTTGCTCAGCTACCATCTGCCATTCATTTCCACCTACGACGAGGAAAAATATATCTATATTTGTCTTTACGTTTCGCTGTATCTAGTCTACAGAGTTGTCCAAATTTTTGAGAGCGTTCCTCATATAACACATAGAGGTACAGAGCTTAACATTAGGTTGAGCTTAGTTTGGCTTTTGACCCTTGGCCATTACATAGGTACTATAATGTCATGATCTTTCCAAATAACCCCAGAGCGGAGTTCGATGTCAATGTTCTTCTACAATCGTCGGAAGGCGGACGATAGATTGGCTCTCATTAATTATTGCCGGGGGAGTTTTGGAAGAGGATTTTGGTTGTAACATAATGAAATATACTTATCTCCCCATAAGGCTCTACAGTATTCTAATGATCTTTCCTCATTAGCAATCAATTGTTTAAAGTTTCCCCTTTAAACTCTGATCTAGAGGACCGAGCCTTCTCCGCATCCCCCTGAAAGCCCCTCAAAAAGAAGTCCTTCGATCCCTCTCCGGCGATAAATCTGGACTGGCTCTTTAGTTACTCTTTTATTCTCAAGCTCAATACGTACCACCCAAATGCATTGTAAGACTAAGCCTTTGGGCCGAAGGAATGTTACAAACATCGATATGTTCAGCCAAAGAGGGACCTACAAATAAGAAAAACAGAACGTTTAAATTTTTTTTATAACAACTCATTCCAGAACAACGTAGCAAGATATTGGGGAAGTTCGACTTTTGGGATCACGTGGTTTCCAGAGAGGAAGGAAGGGGGGACAGCTTAACTTCCCATGAGGGATTGTATGAAAGGCTTAACAGAACTAAAGTATTAATCTTTCTCACAGTAATGTAATGGTGTATTTTAATTTTTAAAACGGCGAAAAAAACAAAGTTGCAATACGGAAGATTGCAGCTAGGAAAAGCTTGAATCTAAAATTACAAAATATTATATAAAGTATGGCATCGTTTCTTTTCTCCCACCTTCATGAGTGCTCAGTGCGGTAATATATGTAAAATATACATGATTAAAAATTATTTAATTTCACAGACTTACCAGTTGTTCCAGCGGGCACAACCTTTCTCAAACGCTCAAATACATCAACTCTGTTCATGGCTTTGGCTTTTCTTGCCAGGATACGGATAACTGTCTTGGTTGCAGGATCTAGATCTGAATTGAGTAGGCCCAGTTCCAGAATAGTCGTCAGTTTGGACAAGAAATCATCACGTGTGGCATCACGTTTACATTCCGAAAGGAATTTTTCAACCTTTAGGGTTTCTAATACAAGCAGATAAGAAAGGCTTAATTCAATCAAGTTTTCCATATCTATTCATGGAATTGTTCGCCATAATTGGTCTAGAAATCGGAGAATTGGTGGTGGGTTTTTTGGGAAATCTGACATCAACTGGCAACAGTAAAAACCTAAGAAGGGCAGTGTCAGATTGCAAAATACTGTCTGACCAGAAAGAGGTGGTGCTGGGTGAGTAAAATCCTCTATTTGACTCATTGAAAGACGAAAAAATAAAACAAATAAGTAACATGCCAAGACACCATTGAAAAACTCGGCTGCGCCTCGTGCGCCTCGTTTTTATTCTTACCACAGCTTTTACGCCATCTGTTATCTATTACTGAACAGACGAACGCCACCATGAAATCTATTTGTAGATATTTACGTCACCAGGTAAAATAAGGGCTTCCATCGAGGACCTAAGGGGATTGTTAGACAGCTGTAGTGCTGATGTCAACTGTCTGCCTGGCATCGCCAGCTCCTTTGGTTTTTCCAGGCATCCAGTCCTCTAAATTATTTCCAATACTTTCTATCTAAAAATAGCTCAAACGACAACAGAGAACAAATAAAGATTATATGTGTAAGTTTTATATATGTAAGTGAAAAAGTTAATTAAAAACTCTACATACCTTTCTCCCAGGCCGTTTGGGTCTCAGCATGTGTGCCCTCAGTTAACTGTAGAAAATTAATCAAAAGAGTAGAAAATAGTAAAAGATAATTCCAGCTGATCGCGAGTGACAGTTTAGTCTGGTTGTCCGTTCGAAAATAGTTCAGTAGTCCCTTCCAAACATTAGATTTAGGATACGGACAGGATTCAAGATTCGGGAGACGGGGCTTACGGCTTACGGTTTATGGTCCTAAGCATTCGAACTGTTATAAATCTATAAAACAAAAGGAATGCAATACAAATCTGCTGAAAGTCACTCACTATGATTTCTGGGTGGGTCCATGGGGCAAATTTCTGGATATCAACTCCACAATTTAGTGCTGTGGCATTCTTGTTGCAATCACTTTTCTTGTTAATTTCAGACTCAAACCAGAAGTGCAGACATTCCTCTTGCTTGCAACCTTGAATCTTATGAGTGTGGCAAAAGCTAACGGCTTTACCTCGACAGCAGACTGGGCAGGTGAAAGCTGCTTCATACCTCATACTCTTGAACCAGAAGAACTTAATACGCATGGACTCAAGAACCAGTTCAAGTTGCCTTCGTAATTTCTGAACAAAGGAACCGTCAGCTGGCTCACCTGAGTGAAAGACAACCTCAACAGAAGAGGAATGACTGAGAAGGATGAGAGAACAGTTTCTTTTTTCAGGGATGTGAAATCTGGCAAAATTTTGATGCAGGCAGGGTAATTGGCTTGATTGATTTTCCTGGCCCAACGAAAAGAACTCGAGGACCAGTCTATGGAATAAGCCTGGAGGAACTTGCCCAGACTTAAATTTTATGAAAAGGGAGGGAATCTGTGAGGAATCCACCAAGCTTTTAACATCCTCTGCGGGAAGAGACATCAACATTGACGGCACCAAGTACTCTCTTGCATAGGAAAGATTAGGTGAGGGCAAAGAGCAAAGCAAACTGAACTTCTCCATAATTGCAATAAGACTGTCGCAGTTAGTCTGTCCCTTGAATAAAGGGCTCCAGACGTGTTTCAGGAGTTCTTCCTTTAAGATTCCTTCCTCCTCAAACGTTTTCCAAAGGTCTGCAAATTCGTTGTCTTCTCCTTCGTAGGGCTTGACTGTAATTACGCTCTTGAACACATCGACCAACCATTGACAGTCCAAGACCACCATTCTGTCTAGCTCAGGAGTTTCATCAAAGTGAATCAAAATTCTCTGGTCATGCAAATAATTCATTAATGTCCGAAACTGATCCTCGTCGCGAATGTTACACTCCTCAGCAGCAATTCTGGCATCCTCAAGATCAATGAATTTAAAGCCTTTTTCTTTTTTCTCCTTGATGGCATTTTCAAACTGTAACCACTTGATTGGTATGGCTTCTCCTTGCTTTTGTGATTCGTTACAAGCAGCACGTACCTCCTTACGTAGGCGCACAACCCCTGAACATTCAGGCTCTTTGCCGGATTTGGTATTGTCTACGACAAAAAAATCTTTCCACAGGTGAGTTCCACTTGGCTTTCCTTTTAAAGAACCATAAACACTTCGGGCAAGTGTTGTAGCATCACCGCGACCAAAGGGCTCGTCTGCATGGGTGCACACCAAGAAAACTGGGGGAAGACTTTCCGGCAATGTTTTTGATGTTGTGTTTGAGGGATCACTATTATGGTGATAGGCTAAAGAGGCAACAAGAGACATCCAAAAATAGAGGTAATCGACATTTTGTTTCAAACAGTGGCTGTCTGTGTAGTTTTTGTACCGTCCATGGTAACTGACTGGTTTGGCAACTGCACTTGCATCCTGGCTGAGATCGTGAACCAATAAGTAGATCGCTTTTGGAGTTAGAAATATTGGATGTGTGGTGTAGTAGACTGACTCTCCGCCAAAGTCCCACAACATGGAAAACACCTCTTCCTCGCTGGGAATTCTCTTTTGCAGCCACATTTCTATTACGTTGCCCAGACATTCTTTTGATTCCTGACCATTTTTGATATCGGGTCCAGGCTTGACGTGTTTTGACGAATTTTCCGTCTCATCAGGGTTCTCTGACACCAAAGGTACCTCCTCACAAGTAAAGGTTTCTTTGTAAGTCACTTGAGTAAATGAGGATTCAAGAGCTAAATTTGGGCTGGCTCCTTTTGAGTCTGAGTCTTCAGAGACAATAGTTTTGGCTGAACCAACCTCAAATTTTGTCGTGAAACCCAAATTTTCAACTGTACATTTGGCAAGATGGCGATCGAATAGTGATGCTGAATCTGGACTGGCATCTTGGTCTCTCTCCCCAATCTTCCAAAGCTCGCAAGACACTTTAAAGAATGAATGGTCAACCTCTATCCCTAAAGTGCCTTTTTCATTTTCATCGAAACGCTGGCCTCGGAGTGACTTCTTTAAGCTAGTCTTTCCTGAGCGGTTTTGTCCAATCAACATGATGGGTACCCTCTTAACAACCGTGGTCCCCTCACTACGAGCTTTATTGTAGGCTTCGAAAGCCAAAGGTCCTCGCTCAAGAATCTCTCGAGGTACTAATGTGGATGTAAAAGGCGGAGAGGGAAAGATAAGAGATTATATATAGTATAAATGTGGTATAAACTATTTTACTCTCGACAGCATAAATTAAATACAACGAGCACGAGAAAACAGTTCAACTAAAATCTGTACACATCACCGAAATGGTAGTAATCTGCAATTCTTTCCCACCTTTTCAAAACTCAGCCTTAATAATATTCAACAACAAAAAATTACCTAGTTATCAGTCGAAAAGTTAACTAGTTTCTTACTCAGCCCATCAATTAACAAACCTGTTTCCTTCATGACCCTTATTACTGCCCTCTCAGATTCCTCTAATGCTCTGTGCAGAATTTCGAGTGCCATACGCTCTATCTTAATGTTACGATCCCAATTTTCTTTGGTATAGTTCCCAATGAAGAGTGTGTTAGAAAAGGAACTACCCGTAGCTTCTGACGCTTCTGTTCGGGCGCGTGTAACTTCTTCTTTCGTATGAAGTGTGTCACAGTGAGTGACGACTGTTGTGGGCTTAATCTCTGAAAATAATAACGAAAAATAATCAATGGTAGAAAAATTTTCCAACTTTGTCCTTGTGGCGTTTTTCTTCGACGTTTTCCGGTAAGGGCGTTAAGTTCGTAATCTAAGGAACGACAAAGGTAAGTTAAGAAGTTACCATTATTACAAATTATTTCTCGGAATGGTTGAAGGTATTCCCCCAGTGTTCCCTCCTGTAGCCGCGGGTCATTTGCCTTTACAACGATGATGATTCCGTGAACTCTTTTCTCAAATGCTGGGAATTGATGCAACTTCTGCTGACTGGTCTGCCCATTCGTAGGACGATCTATTGTATCGCCAGGTTGGATTTTCCCCAACAAGATGTTCTGAAACTCATCAGTCTCGTTAGAATCAAAATTGAAGAAACCTCTGGTGTCGACCAGGTGGAAGAACATCTCTGGAAGATGGTCCTGGAGCGTAACGGTCGATTCTTCTTCTGAACTGCTCTCCGCAAAGCCTCTTTCCGCTCCCCTCACCGCACGTTCACATGTATTGATGAGGCAACTCTTTCCTGAACCTGTTCCGCCAAATAATGCAATCCTTAGTTGGGTTACATGAGGATGTAAGGTCTCTGGATCTTTACTCATGTCACCGAACTTGTAATCGACCAATTTTTTCCTCGTCTCTTCCAAGGCTGCTTCGTCATCACATTGTTGCTCGCATACATCGCTTTTATTCTGGCGTGGAGGTTCTCTTTTTCCTTCGTTGTATAAGTACGCGTAGCCACGGAGAGTTGAATGACTCCCATAGCCAGGAGAACGTGTACAACCATTCTGAAAGTGCAATAGCATTTTTGCAGCGATGAGACCTGCATATTCATTACACGTGGAAATCAAGTTTTTTTGCTCTTTAGTCTGTTAATCTTTACCTATACTCCTTGTAGTGTCTTATCTCTACGAACACAATGACATACTGTTTAGAAAAAAAATTCGAGCAATTTTGTATGGAAACTGTGTGCAACGTGAAACATAAAAAATGAATCAGGAGGCATACCGATTTCAAACAAATAGCTTAAAAGCTTACCCCCATGTGGAGGCGTCCCTCTTCTTCCGGCAATTTGAGTGTCTTTCGTTCTAAAAAATGAACAGAAAATTAAAAAAAGTTTAAAAAGAGCCAGCGAGGCAGTTAAATGCCAAAATCACCGATTTGGCTCAAACTTAGCACAGATGCTGGCCATAATGAGTTACCATCCATGTGAAAGTAATGGGTAAAAAATAAGCAATTCGCTGGGAAGCTGGGGAGCTGTAAAGTTCCCCCATGACATTCCTACCATTTTCCTAGATTTCTGAATAATCAATGAGCTAGCTTTGCCTTGCTCCTGTGACAGAAAGGCCATCTGGAAAAAAATTTGGACTTATGACCGTACGGGTGTCCGCACAAGGTGTTACTTATAGTATGTGCGGCCAACAGCATTGCGGGCACTATCTCAGTCATTACGTAATGGAATGGCGAGGGATAAGGTAATGCGCAGGCGCGATTGTGTGCGTAACTTGGATACCCCATTTAGTGTGCGCCAGGAGACACCGGCAGATGACAATGAAATGCGCATACTCGAGTGCCGAGCTATAATGCAGCGTTCCGCGGGCACACGGTTAGACATTACACGTGGGCTGTACGTGGGCTAGTAGATGTGAAGCTGCGGAAAAAAAATTATTTGCAACCCGCGTTTTGAGCGGGAAATCAAACTGGTGAGGTTGTTGTTGAACAGTAACTCTCAGCATTTTTGTAATTTCTAATCAACTCACAAGGAAACAATACCGGCGGAGCTAAAGCTTTGTCAACCGAAGGAAATTGTTATAGTTCAAGTTTGCGGAGAGAGGGTTTTGAGTGAAAATAGGCTGGAAAGAAAGAGACAGAGCGACCAAGGAAAGCAAGAAGTAAAAGGCGTAAAATGAGTCGAGAAAAACGCGCTAGAAAGTTAGAAAGGACGCCAAAATAGGCAGAATACGGCGAGACGAACGTGAAAGAGAACAAGAAAAGGCATAAGTAAAAAGGCGAATATCTAGCGAAGAGCAACGCGAGAAGGAAATACAAAGAGGCTCCTGAAAACGGACTGAAAAGAGGTCATCAACAAAGAGATACGAGATACAAAGGATCTGAGAAAGAAGAGGGAGTAAGTCTTGTCTCATCCGGATTTTCCACTACGTTAAGGCCTAGAAAAATTCAAATCTTTTTCCACCAATCGTCGTTTAGTACAAGCTTCAGTTTATAATTAAAATCACGTTTCGGTAAAACAATGACTTTGGCATTCATCGCGCACTTTAAAACCCTCGCGCCGGTTCATCGCTCGAATAACATTTCAAAGTGTTCGCATTCTTCAAGTTATTTCTTGTCCTATCGTTTGGAATTTTTCATACAGTCGTGGTGTGAAAGGAAAAGAAGTTATTTTACGGATTTTGTTTTGCCTAGAAAGTTTCCAAATGATAGCGAACGGCGTGAGCAAGTTTCTACCTCTTTTTCTCTTCAGTTAACTATCGTAAGATATACTCTATTCATTTAAAAATCGAGTTTTGTCAAGGATGTGTTGTTTTACCCTCCGAACGAAGTAATGGCCGTTCCCAAAATTGAAATAAAATGAGACTGAATCAGCGGTGTACATGTTTACATTAAATCTGACGCGGTAATTTGATTTTTGACGATATTGTCATGTGAGAACCCGTCAAACATCTGAAAATAAAATTACGGACTGCAAATATATGGTGCAAACAAACTCACGGGTAAATTCGAGCCACCCCTATTGCGGGATGACTGAATTTCATTGTTTGGTTGTGGTAGTTTTTAGCGCAGTGTTTTCATGCTATCTACTCGATTACCCTTGCGAAATGGATTTTGGAATTTCTAGGAAAGGAATAAGAGGTGTGAATTTTCACGCTAAATTCGGACTAGGAATTCCCAACTATAACAACTCTGGTTCTAAAAACCTAGAAATTCCCAGAAATTCCAAGTTTATAGCCAACAGGACTTGGAATTCTTAGGAATTCCAACTCAGAGCACTAATGACTTTCCCTGAAAAGCTGTAAATCTAAAAAATTCCTAGGAATTTCCAGGAATTTTCAGGAATTTTTAGGAATTTTTAAGAATTACTGGGAATTTTAAGCAGAAATTTGAGACCACTAATATAAAATAAATACTAAAAAAATCCCAACTAAAATTTAAGTATTCAAGGAAATTTATTTACATGCTTAACTCAGGTTTACGTGTAAAATATTTTTGACTGTATATTAACATCAACATGTAATAATGTTAAGATGGAATTTGATTTATTTTTCTTTCCTTGAAAACTTCACACGAATTAATCCTCAGTTACAGCTATTCATATAAAATAGTCCTAATCAATCATGAAATTTGGTTTGACACAAATTGTGAATAAAATCTGTTGATTCTTTTCCATAAAATACAATATCTTAAATCATATTTATTGCAATAAATACTATCTGTCTAAAAATAGTCTTAAAATGAATCATTTAATTTTGAATGATGATACAAATAGTATTTAACCCTTTCGCTCCAGAGACAGGCTTTGACTTGATTTTATGTGGTTGTAACTTATTTGGATAAAACTCTTGTGCGTAACTATTCAAATGTAAGTTATCAAGCAGCACTTTTATGTTTTACTCTTTGTTTTTGTTGACTCTGCACATTGAAATTCAGAGATTTCTTCTCAAATTTTGACCTTGCACTCTTGGGAGTGAAGAGGTTGATTACAGTTAAATAGAATTGATGTTTTAATTACAATCTTGTTATAACTTTAACAATAAATTAGAATGAAGTTATCCTAAACTGCAGACTTAGCTGCTGTTTGTCTTTTTTTCCTAGGCTCACAGCTTTCCCTATTGGCCTTGAATGAGGTTTTCTACAGGAAGCTTGATTATTTTGTATCTGGATTCCATGACATCTGAATTTGAATATCTATAAATATATATTAAAAGCTCAGACAAGGCCTTAGATAGCTATAAGGAATGGGCGTTCATTGGAATCTCAATTTAACAAAGTGCAGTGGGATTGGGAAATCTCTGTTATATTGAATGACTTTTATATTGGAGTTAGTACATCTCTCCCATAGATTTTACTAAGAAGGGCTGAGTACATTATTTTGTTTTTACCAGGGAGGGCTTCTTTATGTAATAAGGTTTGTTTAATCACAGTTTGTATTATGAATCTTGAATGTTCCCAAACGTGGCCAAAGTAATCTTGAAACCTCACTGATAGATTTATTTCATTGTAAAGCATAAGCTTAAGAAACTGCGGCATGCAAGTGACCGATTCGATTCTCAGAATTATTCTAGTTTCAGTTGCGCCGAGCGTTATGTAAGCTCAATTCAAGCCATTATATCTATTCTTAGATAAGATTTTGATCACGTAACGAATATCGCGATTTTTTCTTACCACAAACTTTCAAAATCGTAGCTTTATTAAATGGCTTGTACTAGTCAATATGTCACTGTTGTCCCTTCTTTTAACTCCACGTCGCCAACGACTTTCTTTTCATTTACAACACTCACGCTGTTCTCGTTTTCCCATTGAACCACAATAAAACCTATCTTTAGAAATGTTATATTAAGCAAAACAGTCGAGAAAAGAAATAACTTAACACACGAACGATCAACCGATTAAAAGTACATTCAAAGATGAGCGCCAAATGGAGTCTTCTTTGTTTCCGATCTCGGGCATGATCACGTGGATCTTTTAGGACTTGTCATTGGCTAGCAAAGAGAATTCGCTGGCTTGCCCGATTGCAGTGTCAAGAGAAGCGCACAAGTTTATTCTGACTTCTCCGACCGGTTCTCTGCTTCTAGACGATGGATACCTTAGATCCGTGTTCTGAAGGTGATATAAATAATGATGTGAGCTCACTCTATGTGGAAATAATCGACAAGAATTGATCGTACCACAAATGCACAATTTGTGCCGAACGTTGTCGAAGAAACAAAGACTCAAAAGCCATCAAATGAGTTGTGTTCATGGCAGAGATGAGAAATAACACAAGCCAATCACAATTTTGAATGCGATTACAATCTTCTTTTACCCTTATTTTTTTTATAAAAGAAGGACATCACATTAGGAAGTATAAGAGATACATAGATGATCCCAGTGTACCAGTACCTAAATCAACAAAGCTTGACTGTAACAAGTGTTCAGCAACACGTTCCAACATCGCCATCTCGATTCCTCAGTCTGTCGTTTGTCTGAACTTAAAGCAGTGGTGCCAACAAAGTAGAGTGCGTCTCATAAAGGAGAAACATTTGTACAAGAGACAGAAGCAACTATATGCGATTACAGAGGTGCGTTGGAATCCCAGTCTACCCATCGCCAGAAATCAAGGACATTTCGAGCCCGCTAACAATTATCAGCGGTATATCGTATTACACTCCGGAACAATCGAATATCAAGAGAATTCAATATGGCGGCGATCACGGCTCGATCTGCAAAGAAGAGTGTTTCGTACCATGACTTATACAATTTGAGCACCGCAGATCTTCTATTTGATGAAAAGAGAAAGAAAAGAAGACCTGCAAGTAAATCTTTGGGATTTTTCGAGGCAGAGCGATGACATGATGTCAGAATTTTGATTTGCTTTAATTTAATT